GCCTTATATAACTAATGCTAAAATATTAAAAATGAACTCACGCAGGGCGTTGCACTTCGCGGCACTGCTTTTTGGTATAATGAAAAACAACACTCCGACTTATCTACTAGATAAATTAGTTTGGACAAGGGAATTCCACTCGCACAAGACCCGTCGCTCCAGCAGCACTCTCGTTCTTCCGCCGCACCGAACCGTTGCCTTCCGGGGTAGCTTCAGGTTTGCCGCCTCCAAGTGCTGGAATGACTTGCCACCGCCATTACGTCGTCTGCAAACATTGTACACTTTTAAAAAGAAATACCGGGAACACATTTTTAACGAACAAATACTGGAGTAGGTTACTTGTATGCTTACCTAAAGGTTTCAGACGATCAAGCACGGAAGTGGGCAAGACGATCGAGACTGCTGTAGCCTGACGTCACTACTTGAAAATTGAAATTTTTTCTCTCCGGACATGCTATTTGTAACACCATTGTAACACCATATTAAATACTTGTTTCATGATTATTATTTTATTTCTAATGACATCATAACTATATATTTGACACTAATTGAAATTGAATTATATGTTTAGACGACCAATACTGCTGGAATTTATTTACTTTTTATTTTTTTTTTTTTTTGTTTGTGGGTGCGCGTGTAACGCTAGGAACAATATGGGATGAACTAAATTGTCGAATCGCGCGCAATCAATCATTCGATTGCACAAACCGGTTTTGCGGGCGTCGAGACACTCAACAACGCGTAACAATGTCACTCTTTACGAATATTACACATTAACACAATTACTACACACACACCTATACAAACAGTTTTATCTTTTTATTAGTATTCTTTTCATTAGTATTCTTAATAAACGTAGTCATATCATCCTTACCGATTTCCCGCCTTTTGTATTTATCTGTGCACTAATATTACTATTTATGTATGTTTATCTAGACAATTTTGTGCAGCTTTTTTATTTTTTATTTTATTTTACCAATGGTCCGTGACCCTCACTCGGCATGGGGCACACTGAAAACCAGCGCCGTGGCCTTCGTCACCGTGGGCCACGGCATATGCTGAGTGGGGTCCCGTTGCAGTGGGCATCTGGTTGGTGAATGGGTGGCACTGCTCAGTTTACTCTTGTTTTTATTTTTTCTTCTTTTATTATTATGTGCCACTGTCATGTCTATGTAATTGCCTGTATTTGTGTGATGTCCACTGTAATAAATGTATCTTTCTTTCTTTCTTTCTAATTACATAAATAAATTATTCCACAAAAGTCCTTTGATGTCTAGAATTTTCTAAGTGTAGGTTTGATTGAAATTGAAACATTATTAGGTATATTGGCTAAGACCTTAGTACTTGATTCCTTAATATCCTTTTATAAGATCGTGCTTCTGAAGACTGACAGTTTCCAATTGAGCCATTAAAGACACAAATGGCGGTTCAGCCCTCAGATGTGATTGCCTTTCAAATAACTGCTTTGTGCTGCATTAAAAAAAATACTCTGTTCCTATAACATTCTGGTACACATGTTTGGCAGCATATTTTGAGAATATTTATTAGGACGTCGATTTCAAGTCACCTATGAACTCGAATCTGGGCGAATAAACCTTACAATTCGTAAAGGAAACATTATTCGCGATTCAATTTTTCTCATTACCCTACAAATTGTAGCATGTGAATTCTGTACACGATTTCGATGTTGATTCCATTAAAAAAAGGTCGTAGGTCGTTGATAAACGCGTCTGCCTCCCACATTGACTTTATTAACATTCAAAGTCTATTTTCCACAAAACTGCGAGGAAATTGTGCCGTGGATTGGGGCAGAGTACAGAATTCGGCGCAACTCCCCGCTAATCCACGCTTGTCAATGTGTGCGTGCGCGCCGCATAGGACGTATTGGCGCGCTCATACACAAACCGCGCTCGGTGCGTTATTTATTCTGATTGGGGTCACTATCTCATCCATCACTATGCAGTGAGTATGACGTCTCTAGCCACCAAAATTAAGTGAGCGATCTGGACCCCGATTGTGCTAATTAGTAATGTCTCCATTTCATTCGCGTTTCATCTCCAGTCTGCACTTCAGACGCGTTCCATTTCATTCCAGCTGATGTGCAATTCGGTATCGCGGTAAAGTTCACGCGCAAACAAATATTGATGAAACGTCTTATTTTTTAATCTACATATACAGTGTGAGTCACGTTAAAGTGTACATATGAAAATAGGTGAAACTAGACCTATTTTTATCGACAAAAAAGAGGTCAAAAATTTTTTGACATTTTTTTTTAATTTTTTATAGAGTTTTTTTTCTTCCAATTACTTATTGTAAAGAAAACGTAATAACTTTTAAACTAAGCGGTATATCCTGATAAAATAAAAACAGTAATAATGCTAAATAACAGGCAATACTAAAAAAATACATAAAATACACAAAAAAGACCAACAAATAATAAAAAATGATACTTTTTGAAAAATATCTGCTTTAAAATTCGTGTTTTTTTGGTTATTTGATAAATTTCTCCAAAAAATGCCCCTATAATAGGTAGTTTTTATTACTTTGTATTATTCTCTATCGTATTACCTTCGTAAAACCAAAAATCGCATGTCTCTATCCCTATCACAACGTTTGCAATGATCGTTTGAACTAAGCCTCTCCGGGCGCGCCATTCAAAGCTTCGTTATCAACGAAACTGAAAATGGCTCTCGATTTGTAATTTTGATAATAGTAGGGAATTTAGTGCAAGAACCCCTCCACTTTGGTATAGAAGGTTCATTTTTGCAACAGTGGTTCTTTGGGTGCTCCTGAGTGGATTTCCGTCGGTAGACATCGGGAGCCCCCCCTGTGGTAGCAGGGGGAGGGGGGGCAAGTTTCCTTCCGCCGCGCTTCACTTTAAGGCCCATATCTTCAAAACTATGGGTATTAGGGCAAGTGTGGTATCATTTTCGGATAATTAAAGGATGGCGAATTCATTTCTAGAACAAACTTTTTGCCTTTTCATACAAAAAAATTGAAATATTGAGNGCTTATGAACCAAATAGTATGAATTCATGGATAAAATAAATATTTTTTTCCGATGCGCAATAAAATTCGCCCGCTGTGTCCTGAAGAAAAAATTTTTTTCACCTACTTTTTGCGAAAAAAGTACCATACAATGTTATATTTTTATAATCCTGATAAATGTAGCTTTCAGGTCATATTTTTTTTATTACATTATCTCCAGTGGTTTAAAAGTAAACGACGTTTATTTAAAAAAATACTTTTTGATTTTTGTGAATTTTACTCAATATTTCAATTTTTTTGTATGAAAAGGCAAAAAGTTTGTTCTAGAAATGAATCCGCCATCCTTTAATTATCCGAAAATGATACCACACTTGCCCTAATACCCATAGTTTTGAAGATATGGGCTTTAAAGTGAAGCGCGGCGGAAGGAAACTTGTCCCCCCTCCCCCTGCTACCACAGGGGGGGCTTCCGATGTCTACCGACGGAAATCCACTCAGGAGCACCCAAAGAAACACTGTTGCAAAAATGAGCCTTCTATACCGAAGTGGAGGGGTCTCCATACAAATCATTGCACTAAATTCCCTGCTATAAAGACAAGTTAGATTTCAAATAAAAACAAAAGATTTTGAAGAAAAATAAACATTTTAGTTCAAATTAAAATTGTCTCTACCTGTAGCGGAGAAAAATGTTGTGGCAGGCCTTTGTTCAAACGTTCATAGCAAATGTTGTGATAGGGATAGAGACATTCGATGTTTGGTTTTACAAAGATAATACGATAGAGAATAATAAAAAGTAATAAAAATCACCTGTTATAGGGGCATTTTTTTGGAGAAATTTATCAAATAACCAAAAAAACACGAATTTTAAAGCAGATTTTTTCGAAAAGTATCATTTTTTATTATTTGTTGTCATTTTTTGTGTATTTTATATATTTTTTTAGTATCGCCTTTTATTTAGAATTATTACTGTTTTTATTTTATCAGGATATACCACTTAGTTTAAAAGTTATTACGTTTTCTTCACAATAAGTAATTAGAAGAAAAAAAATTCTATAAAAAATTAAAAAAAAATCTCATAAATTTTTTGACCTCTTTTTTGTCGATAAAAATAGACCTAGTTTCATTTATTTTCATATGTACACTTTAACGTGACTCACACTGTATGACTTAAACACAGAAAAAGTTCGCTAAGCGTTTGACGTTTGAGAAAAAGTAGCTTTCTGTCAGCTTTTACGTAAAGGTGCAGTTGCGCATCGTTTACGTTACAGCATCGTTTAAACTAGCTGTCAAAACGAAACCGCGATACGGATTTGTCAAAACAGCTGAAGTTCGTTCGTCGTCCAGTAGCGTTGCAGTTGAAACTTTTTATTGCAATCGCGGCCTTGAGCTGTGCGAGCATGTGTTTAAGCTTTGAAACGGTGTTCTATTATATTATGTAAGCCTATACGTCCCACTACATGGCACGGGCCATATCCTAAGGCCCTCTTCACATGTCCCGGTTGCCGGCTAACCGGCGCCGGGTACCCGGTGGTGAAGTGTATGGGCATGGTACGTAGCTTTCACATGTATCGGCGTAATTAATCCGGCATGCCCATACACTTCACCACCGGGTACCCGGCGCCGGTTAGCCGGCAACCGGGACATGTGAAAAGGGCCTAACTGTGAGTTGGTTTTTCTTCAGCTTGTAGATAGACGCGCCTAGCCCATATTCCTCAGGCCTATAANGGTACCCGGTGGTGAAGTGTATGGGCATGGTACGTAGCTTTCACATGTATCGGCGTAATTAATCCGGCATGCCCATACACTTCACCACCGGGTACCCGGCGCCGGTTAGCCGGCAACCGGGACATGTGAAAAGGGCCTAACTGTGAGTTGGTTTTTCTTCAGCTTGTAGATAGACGCGCCTAGCCCATATTCCTCAGGCCTATAATCGCGCCGGTGATGGCGATCCCTTGCGTAGTAGAAACTTCCCCATTGTGGTGGAAAATCAGCTAAAAACAACCCTGTTTCAGATTCCGGCAACATATCCCTGGAGTCGGCGTTCTGCGCGCTGATGGCTCCCTCTCCACTGCTGGAGCTGAGCAGCATTTTCTTCTTCTTCGTGCCCGGTATACTCATTCTGTGCCTGTACGTCAGGATGGGACTGCATATCAGGTAAGTTATAATTATAAACTTCATAAAAAAAAATTAAAATTATAAATAACTTTTTAAAATCGAACTGCCTAAGGCGAGGGAATTGAACCCACGACCTTTTCAAAAAAATAATTGTACAACAGTAAAAATATTTAGCTTCAGCGACAGCGACAGCTCGACGGATGACAAATATTTTTCCCGATTAACAACGCGAAAACTTTTTTCGCACAAATATCCTTCGCGCTAGTGTCTTTCGCGCTCATGTCTTTTCGCGCTAATGTCCATTCGCTCAAGTGTCTTTTGGCGCAAGTGTCCATGCGCGCAAATGGCTTTTCGCGCTAGTGTCTTCGCTCTAATGTCTTTCGCGCAAGTGTTCCGATACGAATATAATCTTAGTGAGAGTGATGTTTCATGGCCAAGAATAGTTCATTTCAGTTTACTAGATTTGATTCACTTTATTCATAATTAAAATTGAAAAACCAATTTGTTGACCAACTTATTGAACAAAGTGTTGACATTTCCGCGCGTTGACAGCTCTATCACGTTTTGCGCTTTAAAGTTCCGATTCAATAGGTCTATTATTATTTAATCCTTTGATCACAACCTCCTACGTAATAACGATTCCAATTTGCCTTCGGTATTTTACAAAGAACTTGCAAACAAATGACGCTGTTTGTCAAACGTCGAGTCGTGCGATTTGTTGTCAACATTTAGGTAGTACCTGCAATAACATGCTTAATTGCTCCTGTCTATCATATGGGACTGGGAATGCTCCACTAAGCCGTACATCCTTTGTCGTTTGTCGCTGAAGTAAATTCTGATCGACTTAGCGTTTGCAGGCGTGTCAGTATATTATGTAGACATAGTTTGTGAGCCATAAAGGACTCTACATACCAAGCCCGGCAACTTCATTTCAAAGGAATTATGTCGACAAGTAGCAGATTCTCTACGACTTTTTACTAATCAAAAGTCGACTTATGTCGGTGGTTTAGTATGTAGACTGCATGTATTAAGGTTTCTCGAAAGATCTAAGGTCTCTAAAATCGCAAAATGAATTGACCAATTTAGTCATTTTTTTTAAATGTTCGTTGAAGTCCAAGTATGGTTTTTACGGTGAGATTTGCAAAAATCAACCCCTATAAGGGGGTAAAACGGGGTCCACGCGTACGAAGTTGCGGGGGGCCGCTAGTTTGTAATAAAAGTGAAATAGGTGTTCGATTGATTAGGTACAATTTTTGTGTGGGTTTTATAAATAAATATTAGTGAATTTTCTCTTATAATTGTGATAGGTAATTAAGCTTCTTAAATCACATACATAGTTTCTTTCACGCGAAAATGTCAAATTCTTTTTTTAGAACTTGCCCTTTTGTCAATCACATTTAACGTTGTAATTAAGGTAAATATTTTTTTTTTTGTTTTTAATCTCCGGCTAAAATTGCCGGAGTTCGGTTTCAGACAAAACAATTTGTTGAGTATGAAATCAATAATGTATTCTTTTAGACCTTTATTGTTACCGAAATAAAATTTCAAAATGAAAACCCTCAGCTAAAAATAACTACAGAACAATGCTAGCACTAGTAAAGCTTCAACCACACCAACGCGTGCAGATCGCGACCCATAACAGTCCGCGCGACCTGTCATTGGCTTAAGGTTCGGCCAAACCAACGCGATCACACGCGATCAGCCGGCGTGCAGCGATGGCGATCAATGCATTTAAGTCTGGTCGCCATCGCTGCACGCCGGCTGATCGCTTTGGTTTGGCTGAACCTTCAAGATAGCGCCGGCGATGGCGATCTACACGTCCGATTTTAATTTGTATGAAGAATCGGCCAAATCTAATCGGTGTATTGTGCCCACTTCCATACATGCCTATACTGATCAACTGCGCGACTAAACTATCGGCCAACGAAAAATCGATGGTCTGTAGCATCTCATACAGTTAAGTAATCTTAACTGTATGAGATGCTACAGTGATTAGCCGATGCTCTCTGTACTTTTTTTTATACATAACAAGGCAGGTAGGTATTTAACCACAATCGCATCTGATGTTAAGTGGGATGCAGTTAGGGTTCCCAACCCTCCCGGATTGCCCGGGAGACTCCGGAAATAATGGTTAACCTCCCGACCTCCCGGAAAGCTTCCATTTCCACAGAAATCCCTGTCCTGAATTAAAATATGGTCACGTTTGTTCTTTCCATTCCTGTCTCTATTAATGCTTCATTCGAGCGCGTATTCAGCGTGATGGAGCAACTATGGAGCAAATCTCCCGGGTTGGTCCTTTCAAGAGTTGGCAACCCTAGATGCAGTCTAGTGGGATGAAGGCGAGAGTGAAAAAAGGCCCGGATTATAGTTTTCAGGAAAGACAGCAGCAGGCAATGAATTCCAGTCCCTGGCTTAAGTCCAGTAAAAATATTATTTTAAAGTATCTAAAAGGCGCTTTGTTGAATGACTTGAGTCATTTTCCTAGTAAGGCAAATTTTTCAAGAAAAAATATTTATACAGCTACTTCGGAATCGTTTTCCTTCCAAGAAGTGGGTTCTTTGTTCACTGGTATGTGAAAAAGCTCGTTAGTTTTATACTTTTTATAAGTATAGGTAATTTCACATTAAAAATAAATCTAAATCAAACACTGCTAGTGAGAATGGAAATGAAAAATATTCAGTTATCCAGTTTTGACCAATGCTTTGGCGCATAAGATGTTAAAGTAAAAGTTCCTAAGAAAAAAACTGTGAAGAGTTGGATACTTGGTTGTTGTAGATAGAGCTTCTTCGTAGGAGATACGTAGATAAAACACCAGACAATAGGTAGTTGATTAATATATTTGATGTTGTTCGTGCAACAGTGGTACAAAGAGTGGAGTAATAATTAATTGAATATAAAACGAAGACTAGTTATTATGACAGAATATTACAAATTAGGGATTGGTGCCGAGTGCAAAAGACAAAGAAAAGTTATTAGGTACCTACATGATTAATCTGTCCTCAATATTTGGTACATACATGGTGTGATGAGTGCATAAAGTATGATGCAATCATATTTTATAATTAACTGAGTACAAAGTAGGCACAATACCATTAAAAGTAATTGCTTTTTATAACGCGTAATACCTTGCATTGAAAAATAAAACCTAATCAAAGCATAGGCATAAAATAGTAAAAATATATCTTTTAATTTGATTAATTTTAGAAACAATTTCAGTAACAATCCAAAGACAAAAGTCTCTCCCACCTAGCTACTACGAGTACATGTTAGGCTGAGTTGCACCACTTAAATTTAACGGTAATTATGACGATAACCGGTGCTTTTTGTATGGAATTTGACAGATTTTTGACGTTTGTCAAAGTTAAAGTAAGATGGTGCAACCCAGCCTAAATCCTTGCACCATCTTACTTTAACTATACAAATGTCAAAAGTCTGTCTATTTTACAAAAACACTGGTTAAAGTTATTATACATAGATGCAACGCAGCCTTATTGTTTCCTTAGGGCCTTCTGCTATTGACCATTAGGTACTTTTGCTTTAAAATATCCTCAATTCTACATAGCAAATTGCAGAACAAGGATCGTAACAACTTGTGGTGTCGTCGTCCGGGTCATCGTACCAAATTCTATTAACTAGAGATGAAAGTTTCTAGTCAAATTAAGATCCTTTGGTCGAGTGTAGTCCAAAAATAACAGCCAGCTTAATTAGTTGAAAGGTCAAATTAAAAGTACATAGAATTTTAATTCATTTTTGCAGACAGTTTAAGTCTTTGTCGTGAACAATTCGTTCAATTAAAGATAATGTCACAGATCGGCTCAGTTAATTTAATAGTTTTAGTAGCAATTTACGAATAAGTAGTCAGAAATAGAAAAATCTGATTTAATGTATAAGTAACGTACTTGCCTCTAAAATTCATTTTACTTTTCTTTAACAAACGTCAAAAAATTGTCAAACTCCATACACAAAGCACCAGTGTATCTACCATGAGTTTACGTTAAGTGTGCTCGCTAGCGAGTACGTCAAAAATCTCTATGAAGATTTTGTTACTTGAAAGTAGCCGCTAGGGGCGCTGAACAATATGTCATACAAGTAATGTCATTTTTTTACGCAGTCGCTAGCGAGCACACCTAACGTAAACTCACAGTTATCGTCATAGTTACCGTTAATTTTAGGTGGTGCAACTCAGCCTTAGAAATTAGAACCAAACATAGTTCAATATGAGGGTTTAGAGATACTTCAACGTTAAATACAAGCGTGGCACCACATCTAGTGAAAAGTAGATATTTGCAGTCTATCCTGAGCAAACAACGTTGAAAGAAAGAAAGAAAAGAAAGAAAGAAAAACATTTATTTGGTACCAACTTAAAATATAACACACAGATAACAAAAAGCAAGTACAAGTAGTTAGAACCAAAATTGGCCACCGCTCAGCATGTGTCATGCTCTGGAGTAGTAAATAAAACCCAGAACATGACGCTGTTATTCAGCGGTGACCATTTTTGGACACACGGACCACGTTGGCTGGCTGTATAAAACGAGATGTGGTTAGAAATGTCAAGACACCCAAATTAATTGTTAAGTGGCAGATTACAGTGGCTCGAAGGCGCTCTGTTCCCAGCTCGAGTCCTGTACATCCTTTGATCAGACCGCGTGGTGCTACTTAAAATTATCAATTAGTAAGGCTCAATTTCAGAGAGGTCATTGCCTGGACAATGTTAGACCGCGGGAACAACGACACTGTTTACGGAAGTACGGGTAAACGTTTTGGTCATCGACTTTGGAAGACTTGGAGTGACTTGGAGAGCCATTGTTTTCAAATTGTAATGGAACTGGGAAGTTTATAACTAACTAGCTTTTGCCTGCGGCGTCATCCGCGTGAATATATAACATCATTAATTGTGCTAACTAAGCAGCAACTTATATTTCTTGCAAGCTGTGTATACCTCTAAGTGATAGTGCAATTAGCTTAATATTTTGCGTATTTTTTAACATATTGTGTATTGTTGTACCTATCGTTGGTGTACCAAATAAATAAATAAA